CAAACTCTTCTTCAGAGGAGTTTATTCTCATTGCCCAGTTCATCAATTGGCTGTTAATTCAATATAATGGCAGAGTCAATTGTTAAATTGGTTGGTTAGCTCAGAATAATACATGAGGTAATTTAATTTAGGTTAAAGGCCCTTTAACACTAGGTTCTGACTTCTTGACTTTTCTCTCCAAGAGGAATGAGGGTTTTTATACCCAGGTGCTTGGACTGGGTCAGGAAGAAATCAGGTGATTTCTTCCTGGCTCAGGATTGGCCGATTCAGGCAAAATCGAAGAAGTGAAAACCACTTCTTGTCCTTGAGTGAGGCTCAGTGAGTCTCGCAAAAACAGGATTTTTGCGAGGCTCACAGGCCTCGGAAATCCTACAAGTTTTGGGGTCCGGTTTCCACTGGATGCTGGAGCTGCGTCGCTTCGGTCCGCGACAACATCGATAACTTTTCGCTACGGGATTCCCGGTTATAGAATAATCTTGATATTCAGTATACATATATATTCTATCTTTTATATCTTTCAAGAGTACCAAGCTTCAGCACAGAGTCTTGCGGGGAACAATGATGAAGCTAGTCGCTGGCGAGAATGAAGACGGATGGAGACGGCGCGGAGTGTGTGTTGATAAAAGGCCATTAATTCTGCGAAAGGAACGGGGTAAAGCCCCCCTTTCCCCCTGCGCGAAAATGGGGGAGCTGGGTATTTTAAATTACTGCGGCGAAAAATTGACGTATTCGCGACCCCCGCGCGCGCGACCCCGTCACCCGGGCATGAAAAGTGGAATGAATGAATGTGATTCATGGGCCTGGGATGGTCGGACTCATTAGCCTGGGATCGCATGCCTCAGCCCGCCTCGCGCGCATGCAAACGAACCTATCCCCCCCGGGTTACCGCGGAATTCCATTACGTTTTAGTTTGCTCTCCGAGTTGCGTTTTCAGTTTCCGCGAGCGAGAAAATCCCTCTTTTGCACTTGAGTCGGGGATCGTAATTCCCGAAAGTGGGCAGAAAATGCTCTTGATTATCTCGATCCGTGATTTTACCCCCTGAACGGCGCGACGAGGGACCAAAAAGGCGGTCGTTGTTGCTTCGGAATCTGCGGGAATTCGAGTTGGACGCCTTCAAAATAATCGCGTTGATATTGCAGAACTAAGTTTCCGTCCGTAGACGTCTTCGTTGATCATTGAGCTCAAGAGGAAAATATTGTGGAATTGTCCGATTCAATGCAATTCATTAATTCGTTATACGCGGGAGAAAATCAACATCTGATGCGTGGGGGTCTGTTTGAAAAAAACTGGTACCTGTTTCGAAGGCATAAACGTGACTATATTTTTTAATTCTAAAATACGCAAGATCTGTGGACAGGGCATTCGGGAGGCTATTCACGTGGATTTTTCATGCGAACAACGACTAAAATTAATGTTAGATGTGGTTACTATTCAAAAACAGCCTTCACTTGATAATAGCGTGTCTAAATATGTTCAATTAAACGAAAAAGGATATTCTTGTTAACATGCAATTGAAATGCTTTCAATTGAGTGAGAGAAACTATTTAAATTACTGTACTTAGTTTCCATCATTGTAGGCAAATCAATATTATTACCTTTGAATGAAGGGCAAAACAGTGGTACAATTGAAGCTAGAGTTCTTCATATTGTATAAGAAACACATATTCCTCCTGTAAGACCTAGAAAATGAACTTTTCGGAGAAATTATACAGACCTTCTAAACAAAGATTTTTCACTTGAAAGGAAGTTCATGATCCAGCGAGTTTTTAATTTTTTCGGGATTTTAGTCTTGATTTGACCGCCGGGTTTTAAATTTGGTTGTTGAACCGGTATAAAAGATACATTTCTAGTTTAAGGGATTCAATAAGTGCCTCATTGAACTGCTTCATCGATCTGCTCCTGTTGAAATTTTGTATGATCTGAATGAAGTTCATGTTAACAACTCTAACTTGCAGAAATGGAAATTTTATTGTTTGTCTCTCCAAAAAGATGGATCAAATTTTGGCAAATGGTTCTAATTAATTTCAATGATCAAGGACTGACATGATAAGATGCCAGAGAACATTCTAATAATCTAATCGAAAACGCATGGTTCGTCATGCATTATAAGATCAAAATTTTTTCGTAAAATAGGGCTTTTCAGTGATTCTATGAACCTTCAACGCTTACAAATATAGGGAAAACGTTGAAATATCCTTCAGCGTAAACAATAGTTCACCCCGGGATGAATGAGATTTTCCAAATGAGCTTTTCATATTTAGACCTTATTTATGGGAACATTAAGAGTGAAAAGGTACTAAACGTCACCAGTCGGGTCGTTCATGCGAGAACATTAATCTTTTAGCTGCATGGAGGCAAAATCCATGTGTTTTGAGGTGAATACAATTCGCCATTTTTTCGCATGAATGTTTAGATAGTATCGGATAAAGCTGCCAATTAATTTTTTTTATAAATATCGTCTCTATTAAAAAGTGTGATTCAAGCTGACAAAATTTCCAGATAGCTTCCTGTTTTTGACTTCGTTGCCAAATATCATTTTAATATCAATCTGAAGAATAAATTTTACTGTAAAATCGCTAATCGCGAATTTTAAAATCGTCCTTGACCGCCTTTCTTTGCCCGGGGCGGAAGAATCCCAGCTGTCCTCCAAGGGATGCATTTTTTTTAGTCCAATAAGTTATGCCCATATACCCATATGGCGAAGTAGCAATACAAGTAAGCAAATCCTCGAGGAATCCCAATCTCGCTACGATTTGCATACAAGCCGAAGCCTTGGAGGGGAAATCCCTGCGCTGAATTCGATCCCGCTTAATGTGATTGCTGACTTTCCTTAATATTTGCAAGCTTCAATCGTGATGTTTTTCGCGTCTTTTCTACAGTAGTAAAAATATCGGTGGGTATGCTACTACGGTAGCAGTAGTAATCCCAGGAAATGTCTAATAGTCAGTTCGTAAAATTTAACTGACTTCTTATGGCTCGCTTTGCACTTCAGTATCTTCTCCAGGAATAAACAAGCAGTTCTTGTAAATTTTTCAACGCGTCTGCTGTGTTTTCAAATATATGCACATTGAATGAGAACGTTATCTAGAAATCGATTAACATACGAGAAAGTTCGCAAAAGAAGAAAACTTCCGCTCGAAATTGTCATCATCTAGTTCTGGTTTGGTAATAAGTTAAATCAACTTAAGGAAGTAATTCTCAACTTACGACACCTACTTTTGAGCTATTTTTTTTACGGCAGACATGTTGAAATTAATGGTTTTCTGAGATAAAACTCAACTGCGATGCATAAGTGAAGAAAATAATTTTTTCTCGAATGCCCACAGGGATTTTTTAACTGACTATGAAAATCCACGCCCAATTTTCAAAGCACGAAACCGACTCATAATAGCAAAAATACAGCGAAATCTAATTTTTAAAAATCAAATTATGAGTGGCTTCAAAGGTGAATTCGAAATTTTTCAACTTCTCCGTTTATGAATCGCCTCTGCATTTGAATGCCTCCTCTGACAGGAAGCCTTTGCCGTAGTGAGCTTATTCCTATATTATGATTTCGTTTATATTCAACAGCACATATTACGCTTGGGAGACTATAGAAAAAAGCGATGCTTTTGAAAAATATCCTCTGATCGAGCTCAAAAACAAAAAACGCAAAAAAACAGAACAAAAAAGTGAAATGAAAGAGAGAAAAGGGTTACGATCCCAATCTGCATGTCTTTCGTTCCCTGGCCCCATAGCATGCGGATATGAAACGTCTCACAGGCCCGTGCTTGGCTCCGTGATGATCCCTTCCACTTGAGATTCGAGTGCTGTGAGAAGAAAATGACAGCGTGTGCATCCCGGTAGCATGTGCTTTGCTTCACTCGTTGCCTGAAGTGAGAATGCTTCACCCGAGCAAAAAGGAGGACGGTTCGGAAAACCGGTGTAAGTTTTCGGCTTTTGCTCCTGGCGTTGCAGTTTTGCGAAAAGCTCTTGTTCCGCTGCTCCTGGGATCCAGAAACTGAGGAGCGTATATATATACATAGAGAGATCCTCGTAGCACTGACTTTTCAGTTGAGCTACTGCTTCGAGAAGATAGAGAGAGAGAGGATTCTCTCTCTGGTTTCTGCTCTTATTGTTGTCTCGGATTCTATTTCTGAATACCCCGAAAAAAAGAATGTTCGATAAAATATTTTGAATCATGCTTCAAGTTGGTAAATGTTCGTAATTCTCTCGAAACAAACAGTCGCTTGACTCCCGCGGGCAATTTTTGTGCCATATTCAGTTCGAAACTATCTCGTCTACGATATCCTCCGTATAAAGACTTTATTTTTCGGTCCCGTGGGGTTCTCTCCATCATGTTATAGGCTTTCTCTAGAACAAAAATCTCTCTACAACAATTTTTTCTCTCATCGTCCCTTGGATTTCGTTTGAGAGAGAGCCCATATGTATTTGTTTAAAGCAAATCCCGAAAAATTCAGAGAAAAAGACACCGTCGGAAAAAGGAAAAAATCAGTGAGTCAAAGAATAAAAAGATGCGCGGGTTTTCTAATTAAATATGTCACCCACTTCAGATAATTCAAATTTTCCATAATTTTTTTTAGAATTCCTAGCGTCGATCATCTGAAAAAAACGGAATCTTCGCACTGTATTCCTCATCACCGAATGTCCGTGTGTTGGATCTTTAATTTGTTTGAGGGAAAATGTTGCTTACTTCAAAAGATATTATACTACATTAATAATCAGTTTTAATTTCATTTCCATTACATTTACAGTAGTGGAATTGCAGATATGGGTCAAGGTTGTCTTCAGCAACGAAACTCTCGACTGAAAAATAAGAAAAAAATTCAAAGCTACCTTCCGAAATGCGATATACACATCTGAGTCTCTTACAGATTCCTGGAAAGTATGGAAAGCATGCCCCTGATATGAAATCAAACCTTGGGATATCCTTCGAAGACGATCCTTTCAAGTCACACAATCAGTATAACTATACTCGTCCTCTTTTCAACCAGCACGGATTTTTTTTTTCTCCACAGCACCTTGAACCTCACGCGGTGAGCTTGGAAGAAAGAATAAAATAACCTCTTTTCACGTCGCGCTGAAAAAATAATAAGAGGGAAGTGAGTGCAGTGAAATAAGAGGAACGTTGCGGAAAAAAAAGGAATACGGGAAAAATTCATAAATAGGACAGAAGGTTTAGGGGGAAAAAATAGAAGGAGTGAAACATGAGCAGGCGGGAGACGAGCAGCAATTACGACGACTGGCTTGGCGTGTCGGACTACGACGGACAAAGTCGTCACGGCGACAGCCGCGTCGGGATCTACGGCTGGCGGAAGCAGTGTCTCTACTGTTTACTCGCTGTTCTGCTCATCATGATCATCATCAACCTGGCTCTCACTCTGTGGATCCTCAAAGTCATGGACTTGTCAACAGTGAGTCTCTTTTCATTTTTTTCCCCTTTGTTCTCGGAATCCCCTCGTTCCATTTTCAGGATATTCATTTCCATATGTACTGTACTGTATACTGTCCTTTATCGCCGCGGTTTTATTCCGCGTTCTCATGATGTACATAAAAATACAGCATTAACCCCGAACGGAAGACACGAGAAATCTGAACCTTGGAATAACCGAAAGATGAACTGCATTCGACATAACTACATCCTGGTAGTACTTTCTGCATTTTGAATAAAATTACATGCTCAGTCACACAAAAAAACACGTTAAAATGTGAGAAAAAAGTGAGATCCTGAGAAATGGACGTAATTGGCGCTTGAACCTTGTCCCGATGTCAGATCGTCGGCATGTTGGATCACGTTTTCTGAAAATTCAATGTGAACTTATTTAATTGGTTCTCTAGTTAATCAAAAATTAGAAATAAATCCCCAAAAATTGGAATCAAGCTTTTTGTTGTCTTGAAGTTACAGAATATGTCTGTGTGGAAGAAAACCACGCCGAATATAAACTTCTGGCATTCGAAGGACCCCAAAAAGCAAATAAGTAAAAATCTTGCGATACTGTGAATGCACAGATGGTGCTGAACAATACTTTAAAAGAAGAAGCAAAAAATAAGCCTGTGTATGATTTAAGAAAATTGGGTAAATTTATAATAAAAATCATAATTATTAATTTTGTGAATATAAAAATCGGAATTTGTTCAAGTGATATTCAAAATTTTCCAGAAATGTTGCAAAAGTGCCCACATGTCAAGATATTGTCTGGGCGTTGGGGTGTCCGTATTTCGGGGTCTCACTGAATTTCAACCGAATTTGGAAAAAATTTTTGCCACAGCATTCGTCGAAAATGCATACGACATACAATCCAATCTTATCTAAATAGTGCCGCCCATTTGAAACTTTATCCATTTTTCCGATTTACTTGAAAAGTATTCAATTTATAAATTTCCGGTAAAGGAGAAAGCAACGAAACAATTTTGTTCGAACATTATTTTCGCGGAAGTTCCATCGACAGATTTTTTTTGTGGATTCCAGAGAAGAAGAATCACGTGAATGCAGCACGTGTTAATGATTCATTGATGCTTGGTAAACGTGCATCAGAAGCTGGAGGCATTCTTTTGCCATTCAAACATATCGGTGTTATGTAAAAGTGGCGTTCGAATTCGAAGTCTCCCCCGAATGCAGTAGTGCAACAGAAGCAGATGCCACTGAAGCACGAAAGCCGGAAGGTAGTGAAACAGCTTTATATTCTAGCTTTTGCCAGAGAATGTATATATATACGTGCTTTCTATGAGGCTCCACTGTTGGGGGGGGGGGGCTGTATGACAAATGATCACCGCCGTTGTCCGTTATGTTTCATTTCCCCGCGGCCGGACTGAAGACGATCGTTTTGCCATGTCCCGGAAGCTGTTTTGTGTCGCACACCCGTATGGAACCATTCCAGGGGTTTGCAAACCTTTTTAACATTATAAATGTGTTTGTATCCCGGCTCTATACCTAGCGTACAGATTTTTGCCTTTTAATGCATAGCCAATTAAACGCAAGTTTTCGAAAGGTATTTGTAGACCTTTTCGCAAAAGATATTTTTCAGTGTGTGCTTTCGAAAATGTTCGTCCTGATGAATCTTTGAGACGCCGAGAAATGCTAATTGCCGAAAGTCGTTCCACAGAATTTTTTTTGGAACGGGAAAATCTTTTTTTTAATTACAGATAAAACGTAGCAATTTAAATTTTTTCTTTTTGTTCACTGTAAAAATACTACGGATTTCTGAGCGTCGGTGTTTTTTTTTTTTAATAATATCTCGTTGCGCCCAAAGATTCTTTTGTGCAAATTTCCTGAGGAAATGACCGCGTGCGAAAAATTGGAAAGATGCTTCAATGAAACTTTGCGTCATTTGAAGACGCAGGGATATTCTCAAGAAAATGAAATATTCTGTTCTCCCAAAAATATCCTGTCGTGAAAAAGTAAAGTACTCGTCCATCAGTAAATCAACTTCAATTTTCCAGCTATTTTTAAGAATACCGTATAATATGGAAAATAACGTTGTAAACACTTCGAAATAAAATCACAAAATCATGAAATACACTTATGTACACATAACAAAACATTATACTGTACAAAAATTGCTTCATTTCCCAGGTAGAACAAGAATCAACGAAGGTTGACTAGTGAGCGATTGATCCAAACATCTGACAAATGTTGTCTGGTAAACGTCTGAATTTAAACGACCAGCAGTTTCTGCGTTGGCACGAAACACATATAAATATTTGAGACATTCGAGGCCATATTCTGACGAATTTTAAACAAGGTTGGATTCAAGGATCAAGGTTGACATGGTTTAGTTACAATTATGAATGTATTTCAGCAGCTTTGTGACTCTCGTAAGAATTAAACGTGCTCACTTTGTGATCCCCTGACATGCAAGTCGCTGACATTGTCGGCGACCCGAGGTTTCTTTTCTGAGCATCATCCTGCTGCGGTTTGCACCGCTTTTCCGGCTAATACTTCTGTGTAATCGATGCACAGCTTGCTTCTGTACGTATACCCCGAATAGACTCGTTCTGCTGGGAATGTTAGCTGGACTCTTCTCTCTTCCATTTCAGGTTTTATTGGCCGAAAATTTGAAAGGATGAACTTGATTGCTCATATCTTAGTCGGAATATTGCTTTGAACGAGAGTGAAGTGTTGAAATTTTTATTTTTATTTGCGAAAATTGCGTATGCCAGAAGAAATCACGTGATATGGTATTATCTTATTTTCGATGTAACAAGCGATTATGATTGAATTTTTCACAAATCTTTCTCGTTTTTTTTACGACACGGCGTTATACACTTGTACATTCGATCAAACGGGATGATTCCCTTCTGATGTCTACACTTGGACAATCGAGGATTCATAAATTTAAATATTCGGAAAGCATATTCAGTACATGATGAAGATCCATTCAAATATGGCCTGACAACATGGAAAATATTCGTGGAAATTTCAGCGTGTATTTTTCACGGTTATCAGATACTCAGAATGAAATGAATTAGACCAGCGTGAAAAAATTCTGTCTGTTTCATTCCTCTCGAATGTATTTCAATTTGGGCAAGATTATTCGAAGCCTAAATAAATTATCGCTCTTCTCCTACTCATTTCGTATGAATTCCGGTATATTTTTTCAAGGTTTCCGAACTAATTCAAGGCTGAAGCCATGAAACGTGTTTTGAATCTCCGAGTGAGATATTTCATACGGTTGATTAAAAGCAAGTCGGATGTAGAATTTTTTTTCTCAAGCCCTTGATGCGATTCTCAGGATGATGAAGAAATATCTTCATCTGCTCGTATGTGCAAATCCTACCTTCGAAAGACATCCTGTAGATGGAATAGAGGATCTGCAGCGCTCATAGTGCAGACGACACTTTGCTCAGGGCTTCCCAATAAATCCATGAAATCCGTCTTCCTTTCAGTAATCTATATATCTCGACAAAATATGCATTTTATAATCCCAGCTTTCACATCAAATCGTATTCTGATCATGTATACAGTGAATCCCAAATATCTTAACCGAGAAACAAGCTGAAGCAATATTCATACGACATCGCTGGCTTGGAAGGACATTACTCGCGCGTAATCCTGCCTTCAGGTTCTGAGGAAAACAACTTCCAAATATTGGTGGCATTAAAGGATCAGGATGCAAATTAGGAACTTGTTGAACACCCCTGAGTAATCGCAGATCATGACAACCGTTTGGATCTCCTTCAAGAAAACCCAACAGACACCATCAGGGTGCCAGTCGCGTCGTCATGGACCGGCGTTCAGCTTTCCGTTGCAGACGCTTTCACACAACGCACAGCAGTCCTGATGGAGAATAATATCTCCGTACCTAATGTTCGACCAAAAAGTTCTCTTCACTGTCTTTATGAATAGCCTTCACTTCATCGAAAATTAAAGAAACGCATTCGTACTTGGAAATAAGGATAGAAATATTTCCAGAATTTGAGAATACATCTATGCTCATCATAAACCGATCGTCGACCCTCTCAGAATGAGGCGTCTTTATTCAAGAAGCTTGCTTATAATTAATTATTAGGCATTTTTTCAAGCCAAACCCGTGCTTTTAAACGTTACTCGGATGGTTACACGAAAAAAAGACATGTCCATACTCATTCAACACCTGACTAGCATAAAACTTGGCTAATTACCGCATGTATAGTGAAAGGCTTTTCTTGCTGTTAGAACTTGAAAATTTGATTACAAGTATGTCATTCGGGAATAAAATAATCGTAGCAATGTGAAGCTATACTTCATGCATTGGCAGTTTCAATTCTAGATCTCTCGTAACTTGTTTTATTAATTCCCTTCATTTATAACTAGCATAGTTGCACGAAAATATCCTCAGTAAAACATGTCGAGACAAATGAAACTGACCCAATTTTATACACTTGAGAATTATGATTGTGCGACTGTATTTCACATGTCTTCGATTTAAAATAAAATCGGACAATCCCATTTTCTCTATTATGTCACATGCAATATAGTGCTTATTACTTTATGTGGTGAACAACACTAAAATTATTCATCTTTTCAATAAATAATTCACGAAAAAATCCCAGTCAGCCATTTGTAATTCAAATTATGGACATGAAAGTACGCTTTCGATTCAATTAAAATTACGTTCGTTTTTTTGCGATTGAAAAGCCTTGACTTTAACCACCGTTTATAGCTATTCCATGAATAAAAGGAGGGTTCATGCATAAGCGGAATCAGAAATTTTTGTTAAAATAATTCGCGTATGAGAGCTGTTGAAGAGTGGGATTTAAGTTCGATAATAAGTTCTGTTAAAAAAGCCTGACTTTCCTCTACGTCATCAGTTGGTGTCATTTTGTCCAGGCAGCTTCGGGGAATTTGCCTCCCTTAAAATGGAGATATTGGAATTCATTCCCGTGTTCCTCTCTTCTTCTGGCATTTAACTCGTTGATTCGGAGCAGAACGAAACTTCACGACCAGCCGCAGGTGCACAGAGCAGGTCGTAAGTCGACATTGCTTGGGTATATAGCAGTATATATACCGGGTCGTACCTTTTGTCCCAAAGGGAAAGACTCCTTCCTATATACAGGGCGTTTCACGGGAACGCTCTTTTCAGGATATTACTCAGGTGCTGGAACGAGGTGACGGCTCAATTTGTAAGTGACCCGACGTGTGCTTCTGCCTCTCTGCTGTTTCAGCCACGCGAAGTGGTTTACCTTCCTTAAAAGACCTGTTTACTGGAAGTGAAGTGGGGAAACAAATCGCTCGATTACCGGCTACCCTTAACCTTCAGCAAAGCTTTTCTTTTTGCATTTCATTGGGAGAAAGCCATGAAAACTGATGAGCTCCAAATTTTC